AGGCTACCGGTGGCAGTAGGTGGTCTCACAGGTACCCTGGGCCTAAGCCATGGAGCGCTTTAAAGGTCATAATTAGAACCTTGAGTTCAGCGACCCAGTCGCAATTTTCACTACTGGTTCGCCCCAAATGGTGCGAACTGGTAGCAATCCACCTCTGATATGCATACATACACATATATACACTGATTTATTAGGATGTATTTTACTGAAAGATCTTAATTATTCTGGCAGATTTCTTACTTTTTAAAATATCTTTTCTCTTTCTCCCCTCGCTCTACTTCTTTGTATAAATAAGATAAAGATTTAAACAATGCCTATTTAGAGTCAAGGGAATAAGAGTCTGTTTTATTAGCTGCCTCCACATCTATGGAGATTCTCAGCCATCCAAGTCATGGTTGTCCCAAAGGTGCTTTTTCAAAAGGCAACCGGACTTTTTTCCCCCTTGAAGTTGTTGATTTGATTCTCATCCAAGAAACACAGATCAATTGCTGGTCTGGCAAGTATGCTAGACACTTTTTGGCCACTATATAATGGGGCCGCTCAGGTCCCATTATTATCGAGTTTAATAAAATAATAACCTTAGGAACAAAGTCTTATCTGTTGCAAATGTATATATCGGTACATACTCACAGACTGAACTACTGGCTTCTAATTAAGAATAGCAAAGTGTAACACTCTAAGTTTAAATTAGATTATCATTTTGATAATTTCCCACAATAATTGGCTGCAGTGATAGGTTTTTTTTCTTGTTTTACTTCCGAAAGGAAGATCTTTGCAAATGTCTCTTAAAATGTGAATAGCTCTTTTTAAAATTGTCAGTGTTGCATATTATAATTCCAAGAAATCCTGGCTGTTTCGTTTCAATACTTTTTTATTTTTTTTACATAAATCACACGTGTTTAATTTCCTTCTTGAGAATATATTGTTTTCATATAATATAATTGAACGCACATCTCTAATCTCTTGTCCAGCTCCTTTGTAAGACTGTAGGTCTGAAAGCATACTTTCTGAGTCCTGTAAAACAGCGTTCACTTGGTTCCATATTTCCCTTTCTCCATCACTAGGCTGAGCATCTAGATAAAACATAAAAAGCAAGTATTTCAGAAAGCAGTTGACTGTAATCGGAGCAATCATAGAAAGTATAACTACTGTTAACTAAAATTAATTGGTGATTTGATCCATATTTTACTACTTTCATATAGTTCTTGTGACACTTTATCCATTTTCAGATCCATTTTATTAAATCATAACCAGGATTAAAATTAGGGCTTCAAGCCACTCAAATATGCAAATAGGAAGAACTATTTGCAATTTTTAAATTGTTAACAGTTCTTCTTGTTTGTATATTTGAGTGGCTTGAAGCCCTAATTTTAATCCTGGTTCTGATATTATTGCCCTATAACATCAGATTTAGAAGAAAATTATTAAATTAAGTAAATTGGTTAGAATTGTGACTTCAAAAAAAGAATTAAAAATTAGCAATTTCTTTTGGGCTCCAAAAGTCCATCCACAATAGTGACATTTTCAAAACACTGGAAATACCTAGACGTCTCCTTGTCTCCCTCAATATTTAATTTAAATCAGGCATTTGCTTGGTATGAGACATGCTACATATCGTAGGAATGGCAGTAGTTGTGGGAACACATCTTTATGAAGAATTCAGGCGTTATCCCCAGTACAATCTGAACTACAAGCATTTCTCTAGGCACAGATCTTTATAATGAACCTGCTTGTCCATTCTATATGGAGAATAAATGAATGAAGGTTTTATTATGGTCTTAGGCCAAAGTACGTCTGATGTAAAGCACAGATTAATTGATAATGAGAGAGAGAGAGAGAGAGAGAGAGGGAGGGAGGGAGGGAGAGAGAGAGAGAGAGAGAGAGAGAAACGGGGCATATTAAAGTCATCAGTCAGCAGAACTGGGGAGCTCTAATCTCTAGATGCAAAGAGAGGGAGTATGACTCTTCCACCCTTCTTGCGACGGTAGCNAAAACTCTTTAAAGCTTTCACAGCCCTTAGAAGTTCTGCTGGTAACAAACTGACAAGTAATAAATTTGGGCCAGTTTTTGACAGCAAACAAAATCAAGTAAATTGTAAATCCGGGAAAAGTGCAGAATTTTTCCTTTTCTAAAAACCCAATAAGGACTGCATTTCAAACTTGACAAATTCAGATCACCTTCTGTGACACCATCATTCCATCCTTGGAATTCTAGCGGTTAAAAGAAATAACTAGAAGCTTAGCTTTCGTCAGCTTCCAAGTTATGTGTTGCTGCTCTAACTGCATTCTTCTAAGCATTCATGCACACAGTATTCAGAAGTGCCTATATCCAAGGGGGGAAAAATGTAACAGGGCAGTAGAAAATGTCCAACAATATTCACAAAACTTCATGAGCTAGCCAGTTCTTGAGACCATAAAAGACAGAACCTCACCTAGTCTGAGAGAAAATTCATAGAACCGCTTTAACCTCACAACCAGCGGGCATACTGAATTCCATGCTCTTTCCTGCAGCTGAATATCATTCGGGTTTTGTATTGCCTGGAAAACAGTAATAACTTGAGGAAAAAAAACTTCATTTATTTAATGTCACAGTGCCCATTCTGTCCTTCCCATGCACATAAATGAATGAACAGTCAGAATGAAAGCTAATTCTAATACAGTATGGTATTTGTCTTTCTCTCAAAGAATTTTGTGTGTCCCTTTTAAAAAAAAAAAAAGAATCCCAGAAGCTTTTGAAAGAAATCTCTTCCAACTTTTGGCAAGAGCAGCTTGCCCCTATTTTAGGAATGAATTGGATGAACGAGAGGAAATTTGTTGGGGGTGGGGAGAGAATGGGGGAGTATCCTTTAACATGTGTTTATATGCATCAGGGGTGGGTTGCTAGCGTGTTACTGCCAGTTCGGCGTGCACAATTTTCTCCACGCGTGTGCACAGTTGCCTGTAAATAGGCCTGCACATGCGCAGAACATTAAAAATGTGAAACAAACATGCGCCGACAACTGGAAAACCAGTTTGGGGGCATGGTGAGTCTGCTGTCTCTGCCAGTTTGTTGGTTTATTGGATTTATATGCCACCCTTTTCCCAAGGACTCAGGGCGGCATACCACATTAAAAAAAANGTGCGACACACACATATATCCATTAACATATGGCTTTTCCATGCTAATCAGATTATCTAGTTTAGCCATCAGAAGAAAACACCCATCCCCACTGCATCAATACACAGAAGGATTCTGGATATGTTTTTATCCTTCTGAACAAAGGAGTAGCAGCATAATAGAAGTCTAAAGGCAGAATCTCAAAGTTTAAAAAAAATGACTGACACCATGCAAAGAAAACATTTCATTATTTTCCGGGAAAATAAAACACCCCCGCAACATATTTATAAAGTTTTAAGGACGCCATTCAAAAACATTTAATCTCCTGCTGATGTCTACACCAGTGGGTTTCTCCCCCCCCAAAAAAAAGTGTCCCCTGCAACGACGCTTTTAAGCAAAACAGGCAAAAACAAAACTCGCCGATTTAACCCACATAAATGTAAACAAAATCTGCCTGTACAAAAATTACACTGGGATGAATATAGCAGAGAGGAAAATGTAGTAGAGCCTCTGTGTGTGTGTGTGTGTGTGTGTGTGTGTGTGTGTGTGTGTGTGTCAAATTCAATTTCATTGAGGGCCGCATCAGGGTTGTGTTTGACCTTAGGGCGATGGGGTGGGCGTGGCCAGCTCGACGTCACTTGTGTCAAGGGTGCCTGTGGCGGCCCGAGCCCACTGCCAGAGAAAATGGGCTCCAGAGCTCCATTTTCAGCTGTAACGGCCACCTGCAACTCTCTGCCAGCGAAAATGAAGTTGGTCCTTCGCTTTTCCAGGGCAGTCCCATGGGGCCAAATTTAAGCACCCCGAGGGCTGGATCCGGTCCCCAGGCACCCCTAGTTTAGGTAATACTCAGAGAAATAGGCAAAACTGATTCTCTAACTTTGTATGAAGTACTGTAATTTCCTATTGTCCTAATTGTCTCATAAATGAAATCCCCAATTCTGGAAAGAAACATTTTACTCACATGCATGTTGTTTATTCTGTTGCGACTTAATGTCCTTCTATAATAGCTAAAGTCATTTTGAATTGCTGGGTTTCTCATCTGAAACAAAAAAAAAAAGGAAAATCAACTTCAGTGTTCTTACTGAGAACCGACAATTAAAACATTCTGCATTGGCTGAATATTGCTTTCTCCTTACTAACCTTAAGTTCATCAAAGCGGAGAGTAAAATGCAAGATCTCTGCAAACTGCTTTGCTAGGGCTTGCTCTCGCTCTAAGTGCTGAGTTGGCGTGTAGGGTGGACAAGTCAGGGATTCTAATAAACTCTGCAACGCTTTTTCTGGAAAAAAAATATCCAAAATATTCAATTTCGTTTCATTTTTTAAAAAGGAATCTTCCTACTGCTTTAGAAAAGCGATCCCTTAAACATTCCACAAATGTTCAGTTACATAATTGAAGACTACTTGGAGGAAAACACCTAAATATTTTAAGTGGGAAATAATTTGCAATTTATAGAAACAAGTGACAAAACTGTTAGAGGAAAGGATAAGCTTTAATCTTTACTTTCCACTATTCGCCATTTACTGTTCAGTAAGGAATATGGAGTAGCACAGTGCAAGATTTCAACAAAACTCTTAGAGTGATCAAATCTGAAAGCTTACGCTTGTTGTGAACTCAACCAGGTATGGGAAGGGAAAGAGGAAGGGTAAAAAAAAGACTTTTGGTATAATTACACGGGACTGAAATTCAAACAGGTGGAAAAAGTATATATTGGCATTCTTCTTGTCTGAATTTGATACAAGTAGTCGACTTAATAACCGCAATTGGGACTGGAATTTTTGTCGTAAGTCAGCACAGTCATAGTACAAGTCACCACACGAGCAGACTCAATTTTATGAATATTTTACTGCAGTTATTAAATGAATCACCATGGCTGTTAAATGAATTGTGTGGTCATTAAACAAATCTTTCTTTGTCAAAAACTGACTGCTGCAAATTGCAAGCATGTGACTAGAAATGTTGAAATTAGTCACAAATGTGAGCTGGAAGCCCTAATTGCAGTCACATGAGCACAGAGAAGGTGCACAGTCATACATGCAAGGACAGATCATAAATCACTTTTTCCAAGGCTGACATAACTTTGAACCATTATTAAATGAATGGCTGTTAAGTCGATGACCGCTTATAGAATTGACATTGATAACTATGGCCAGTCTGCAACTAATTAATCTCATGGAATAGAATTTAGAAAGCTAATGCTACTGTATTTATTAGTATTCAAGTACCACAAGTTTACTTCTTAGTGTTTGTTACAGCAAATCAACATGGCTCTTCTTTTGCATGTTTTAACTTTCTGGTTGTTGTTTTTTTAATAGGTATGAGTAATTGACAACCTGCAATTCACAAGCTTTTTTTTTTTTTAAAAACTCTTTAAAGCTTTCACAGCCCTTAGAAGTTCTGCTGGTAACAAACTGACA